GGGGGCCCCGCAGCTGCCGCCGCTGCAGGGGGGGGCCGGGCCCAGCCAGCCCCGCTGCATCTTCATCGGCGCCGTCGGGGTTTCGATCTCGGCCGCCAGCCCGGCCCCCTGCTCGCTCTGGCCCTCGGCCAACTCGCTGGCTTTAAACGTGATATCCTCGGAGAGGGAGGAGACTGCCACCTTGAACTGCGGCTGGAAGGAGCCCTTCCGCCGCGCCGCCCCCTTTCCTGCCCTCGTCTGCGACGGCGCTGGGGAGGTTCAAACGCGACTAGGCCGCCGCCGTCGAGCTCGAAGTCCGCGCCGCCCATGACCGTCGCGAAGTCCGACTTCGATGGACATGCCCGGCTTGGGCCTCCGTCTGCGTCGTCGACAGTCGCGCGGGGCCTCCTGGGCGCAGCGCGGCGCGTGGCGCGGGGCAAATCCATGGCCTGGGCGCCCTTCTGGACCGCGAGCTAGGCGTCCTCGCTCTTTTGCCCCATCGTCTCGCACTGCTCGATGCCGTGGCCCAACTTGGTCTCAGGCTTGGCAACCGTCTGCTTGGCCACCTCCATCGAGATGTCGGAATGCTGTCTTCCCAGGGGTCGCCCAGCGCGCGCCGGTAAGTGGCGGCTGCCGTGCGATCTCCAGACGCCCTACGCAGGCTGACCAGCTGGGAACAGCGCTGCTCTTCGGCGCCCGGGCGCGGCCACCCTGCTCGCTGACGCCCTCGTCGTCGCCCTGCGTGAACGAGGCCCACTTTGACTGAAGAACCCTTCTGGGAGGGCCCGCGATCCGCGCCGCCCCAGGCCCGGCCCCGCCGCGCGAGTCCGCCGCGGCGCAGAGCGATGGGCGCGAGCAGGAGAACGACCGCCGCGACACGCGGGCTCCAGAGACGCGGTCGGGGACCATGCGTTTGCACCACTTTCACCAAGCGCGATTCTCTCTGAAGCCCCACGTTCCGCACATGATCGCGGTGGACTGGCCGCCGTCGGCCATGGCCGCGCAGCCGCGCCCCTGAAGAAGCGCCGAACAGCGGGCGCGGCCACGACGCGCACTCGGTCGCTCGGGATCGCCAGTGGGGCCGAACACAAGAACCCCTGGAGGCAGGCTGAGCCGCCCCCTCGCCTGGGGGCAAGCGCGAGGCCGCAGGGCAATGTTTTCGCACCGGGGCCCAGATGGCAAAAGTCTCTCCAACTACTACGAACACGAGCCTCGACCAAGGCCCCCCTGCCATCGCCGTGGCGCTGGGGCCCAACGCTGCGCGTCGCCGAGGCGGCTGAGTCAACCAGAATTGCTCGGCCCGCTTCTCCAGCCGGGCAAGTCTGCTCTGGCGGGCCCCTCGCGCGGCGTGAGCGCGGCCGCGCTCTTCGCGGCCCCGATCCTGTCGGGGGGCTCGCGGGGGGCCGGGGCGCTCGCAGCTCTGGGCCTTCGTGGGCGACGACGTCAACGGAGCGGAGGGCGCTCGAAGCCGCGCCCGCTCCACAGCCCCCAAAGGGTCGCGCGGGCGCTCGAGCAGGGCCTCGACAAGCACCGCCTCGGGGGGTCAGACAAGACGGTGATCGCGTCTAGCCGCCCTGTCGTGCCGCGCGAGCTGCAACGTGCACTTCATGGTCGAAGCGCACCGTGCTGGGCTGCCACCACGGCGGTCGACTCGGGAGTCGACGTCGCTGCTGGCCGAGCGCGGCCCCAGCGAACAGATGCCACCAGGAAGAAGGCCGCGCGCGCAGCGCAGGCGCATCGCCAGCATGCGCCAACACGTTCGCCTCGGCAGGCTCGCCCATGCGCCGCGGTCGATGGCGACCCAGCCGAAGGCCGCGCACGGGCGCCTCTGGCCACAGGGCAGACCCTTTTCGCCATCCTCAGGCTGCAAAGCGCCGCTGTTGCGACTGCGGCCAGAGGCGGTCCAGGCAGGCGCTTGACAAGAATCCTGGGCGCGCTCCGCGGCGACGAGGGGCCATGGATCGAACGGCGCCGCCAACTCTTGGCCGAGCGGATGTGCCTCGAGAGGCGCGCGCCGCAATTCCTCTGCAGAACCGTGCTCGCATGGCCCAAGTTCTATGCCGAACTCCTGTTTGCCGGATCGAGGGGCAAATGGCGAGCGGCGCGCGGCCCCGCGGCAGCCGTCGCCGTGCTGCTGCTTGACGCAGGTTGGACACCCCATTCGGTCGCGTGCTGGGCAACTTCGGACGTGGCCCAATCGCTCCTTCCGATGATAGGGGGCGCCGACATGGACGCGCCCGCCGTCCGAGTGGAGTTCGTCGACGCCGTCGGGCTGCTGCTGTGGGAGCGGGCCAGCTTGAGCGTGGACGGCGAAGACTTGGCGCGCGGGGCCGACGCCGTGATGTTCACCAGGGGGCAACAGCGCCTCTCCGCCGAAGGGCAGCCGAACCTCTGCAGGCAAAGCCTGGTGGTGGTGTCTGGCGGACACTGGCCGCGCGAACGCCAGCAGCTGGCTGGCTACGAGCTGGGCGCCACTCTCTACCCGAAATGCGGCGTCGAGAAAGGAAGGCTTTTCCGCGCGATCGGGTCGCGCCCCGCGAACTGCGCTCCGAGCGCGACAAGACGGCGCACTTGCGGGAGCAGGCGAGGCCGCAGCATGCGCTCCGCCCAGCCCTGCAGCATCGCGGCTTGCACGCCAAAGCAGTCACCACGCCTGAATTCGACGAGGACTTCGCGGATTGGCAGTTGGACATCGGCGGATTTGAACACGCTGGGGGGGGGGGGGGGGGGGCGAGAACGGCGTCTTCCTCCTGTTCGGTGATGGAAACGGAGGAGGAAGCCACGACGATGACCCACGTCGCCGCCGCATGGATGTTGGCATTTGTTTGGTCGACACTTCTACCGACACCTGGACCTTCAAGGGCGGCGCCATCGGAGGAGTTGCGTCGCGCCAGACTGCGAAGCGCTGAGTTCATCGCCTTCGCATTCGCTCTCGCGGCGAGCCGTGGGAAGATTGCCCTCTACACTAATAACTAAAGCCTGTTCTGAGGGCGGGGTACCCGTTGGTATGTTCTATCCTTGGGACTCAATGGAGGCGTCGGGGGTCGAATCAAAAAGAGTCTCAAGTCAAAGGGGGCCCAACGGGCCCGACGAGGTCCAGGTGGAGTGGAACCCGTCCCGCTGGGGGCCCAGGAATGCTGGTCTCACCGGGCCTTATTCTTAGTGCCGCGGGAAACGCCTGCGCGGACGCTCTGGTGGAGGGCGCGGCCTCCGAGGCCTGGGAGCAAAACGTGGTCGGGTCGGTCCCGGGGGTCGACGTCTGGGACGCCATCGTACCACAAATGCGCTTCCGAGCCCGTCGAGCTCTCATCAATTCGCTCGCCGTCGACGCCTGGAAGCTCAGAGGCCCCCCAAGACCCGCGCCGCCTCTAAGCCAAAGTTCCTCCGAGCCTTGGCAGCCAACCGGCGCTTGGACGCCCGTCTATGGGGGGGCAGTTGGCTGTGTTCTGTGTTCTTCGTCTCCGCTCCTGGCTCCTGCCCGGGGGTCGAGTCGAACAGGCGGCCGTGTCTCAGTGCGTTTCCCTCCCAGCTCCGAGGCTTGGATGTGTTGTAGTCAACACCTGAACTACTAAATTTATGCCGTTCCATGTCCTTGGTACCCAGCAGGTCCACGGCTCACACGAGCTGTACAGTAGGCCCGACCTATGCTTACATGGTTGCAATATGTTTCCCCTGAGGAGGAGCAAGCCGCTGCCCCTCAGGAGGGCGATCCACGAAACACACCCACGAGAACTCGACGACAAGGCAACGAGCACAAAAACTTTGAAAAACTCCATTATCGAGGGAATCGCGGGCATGAGACCAAAAGGCGACTGATAAGAAGCTGCCCCAACAACGGTATCGGGTCACTGTTGCAAGCGTTGTGCCATGACCCTTTGCCGCATGCCCTAAACGGGCACCACCGTAAATTCAACGCAGTATCCTGGGAACGCGGAGAGAGAGGGGAGGAAGTAATGAAGCGTTGTGGATGCATTTTCCCAGGATCCTAGCGACCATTCGTACAATCAAGCATCGCACAACTCCAACACAAAGAAGCGCAACACAGCACAGTAAATGGCACAAGGTCGGAACTAACCCCGAGTTCCTGACGTGCCACAACAGAGAAAACTAAAGAAGGGGGACACGGAGGGAACACGGAAGAGGGAGGAAATACGAGCAGACGAACGCGAAGATCGGGTGCATCTCGAACCAGTCCGAATGATGGTAGCCGCCCCCATACTGGATGGAGGCCGATGGGCGCATGGAGACGGACACTATGTACCAGTGCATCCATTGATCCACCTGCGCACCGCCCAGCCGTGGGGTAGTGCACCGAATTCGGGTGTAGGGTTATGGGGAATCGGAGTCGGGGAAGGCTGCCGTGACAGAAAAAGGAGCGGCAGCCCCCCAGACGGTCACCCCGTCTACGAACACACGTTGGTGCTGCAGGTCAGGGTCGTGCTGATCCTGATTATGCTGCGGCGATGCCGCTGGATACCGTCGACTTGCAACGGCCACTCAGACGGCACCAGTCAGACTTTGGTCGGGTCGCCGCTTGCAATATTAGCGGCTCGACGGCCACTCAGAGAGTCAAGGGACTTGCCCTACCCTGCACTCGCACACCTACTAAGAAGTGTCACGTGCACCATTCAAGCAATGTACCGCGGCCGGAACCCGAGCCATGCGGGCATGTTCAAGGCAGCCGCTTATTCTGGCAGCGTGCTGCAAGCTGACGTCGGGATGTCTGGCAAGGGCTCCACGGAGGACCCTCCTGCGGGCCCTTGATGCCCCACTGCGAGACCCGACTTTCCTTTACATTTAATATGCCTCCTCCTCCTCCTCCTCCTCCTCCACCTCCCCCTCCTCCCCCTCCTCCTCTTCCTCCGCCTCCTCCTCCTCCGCCTCCTCCTCCTCCTCCTCCTCCGCATCCGCATCCGCAGCCGCATTCGCCTCCTCCTCCTCCTCCGACTCCTCCCCCCTCCTCCTTCCCTTCCTGGCGGCCTCCCCGTGGCTTTGCCCCGCTCCCACCCCCCCTCGGGGCAGCCTGGTGCTTGGCCTGCGAGATGGTGAACACGACTGGCCGATCCCCCCTGCCCACGCGGAGCTCGACGCCCTGCGCCTCGACGCGCTGCCCGAATTCCTCCCTCCACACGAAGCGGGCGGTCAGGACGCCGACGCTCGCGCCCGGGATGTCGGCGCCCACGCCCTCGGATTTCGGGAAGTGGAAGTCTCTCCAGCTCGAGTTGCCCACCTTCGAACAGATGAGAAAAAAACGGCATGAGCATTGACTTCCGAAACTCTGCGCGGACGTCCCGGATAAGGCGACCCAGCGCAGATCCAAGAAATCCGCGCGGAACTCTGGAAGTGTATGCTTATGCGGTTGTTCCTGCTTCGGCACCTGCAATGAGAAGTTAGTCAACGTCTTGTCCCCTGCCTGGTTTGACCCAGCGGCATTGCGCGTGTGCGGGCGGACATGCACAACCTGATGGTCGAGCAGCGAGCCGCTCAAGGCGACCGACTTGACGTAGAGCCCACACGGGCTCACGCCGTCGGTGTCCAGGCTGACGCTCATCTTGAGTTGCTCCGGGTCCTCGTTGCTAAACGGCACGCGGAGCAAAACGCAATCGGACGACGGCATGCGGATGTCGAAGCGGTCGCCCTGCAGGTTGGTCACGTGCGGGTCGTCGAGTACAACCATCGTGGGGACTGGTGTTGGTACAACCATCGTTGGCAATGGTGTTGGGTAGACCGTTGGAGCGCTTGTGGCAAGGAAAAATGTTGGAGCGGATGTCGGTGCGGCGGTTGGTGCGGCTGTTGGTGCAGGTGTTGGTGCGGCTGTCGGTGCGGCTGTCGGTGCGGCGGTTGGTGGTGCGGTTGGTGCAGGTGTTGGTGAAGCTGTAACCTCGACAACACGTGTGCCTGAGAGAGCAGCTCCTCCCCGCACCTTCTTCCTCCTCCTAGCCGCCAAACGCTGCATCTCCAATGCCGAAAGGAGGGTCGGGGGATGATGGGGAAGGGCGAATTACTGCGAGATTGTCTCAGCCATGTGAGCCTGTAATATGCGTCTGGGCCAACGGGGTCACCAACTCGATGGTGCCCGCCGCCATATCGAGACTTGAGATTTGATGAATTTCCTGTCGCAAAGGGAGAATTCGGCACCAACCCCATACACCCTCTGTGACGCCGACATTGAGCAACGATACTTGACGCCACCACCACCACCGCATAGACCCATGGGAATGTTCTCTTGGTGTCGTGGTCCCCTGCTTTGCGGCGTCCCGCTGAGGATCTCCAGTTCGCGGAGGCATCGTGGACCACCTCGCTGGATGTGGCCAGCTGGTGGTGGTGGTGGTGGCGTTTCTCTTTCCTCCGAGCCGACGGTCTATGATTATTGTTCAGGTTCCCCAATGGCGCCATGCCAGGAGAGGGACTTGTCCATTGTGAGGGTCCCTGGCAATTCTGTGGAGAACCACTGGTGTTGCTGCTGCTGCCCCTCCATCTGCGGCGTGGAAGCCAGCGGGCTCTGAGAGAGAAATGGATCCTGATACCCCAGGGCCTTTCTGGGAACCAATTCCTCATCCTTGGCAGTCGTTTGACGAGCCTATGGCTCGGCTGCCCGAGCAGGGCGCAAAGCCTCTGGATCTCTTCCCGTTAGTATCCGCTCCCCTCAAGGCATGTGCTCCTCCCTGGCGACGTGCGTTCGTAACAAAATTCCCAAGGGAATCCCAAACCCGTGTCGACGAGGAGCCTCCCGGATGCAAAGATGACCACCCCCAAACGCGCAGAAGCCTCGATCCTCGATTTCTCAGGACGGAGCCTTCCTCCTCCTCCTCCTCCTCCTCCTCCTGCTCCTCCTCCTGCTAAGTTGGTGGGATGGAATCGGTGCCCAAACTCTGCCCGGTCCGACGCTCCCACCTCGATCCAATCGCCAACCTTTGGGGGGGGACGCTGGCGAATCCACCTGCACCGACTCTGGCCAGGCCCATCCTCGGCCCAAGAGCGATGAACGCGCAGGTCACGAAGAAGCCACGGCTCGAGATATCTGTCCGCCTTCGACGCTCACCCGGCATGGGACTGTCAGAAACAGCTCGGGATGAGAAACTGCATAGAGACCTCGGGAAATTGTCGGGTGTCTGGGGGCCGTGTATTGGGAACACGCACGCGCGCTGTTGAAGGTCTGGTCCCCGGCCTCCCTCGGGAGGCGTACACCGGGTGTTGCTGACGGTGTGGCTGGCCCAGGGTATCCCCAGGAGTTCCTGGGAATCCAGAGGAGCGACGACAGCAAAAACAGGGCCTGACGCGGGCAGCTTGCGCGCCAACGTCGGAGAAGACGACCCCGTTTTCTTGCGTCGCCCAGATGGCCTCTAGGGCCCCCTCGCGAGGGCCCCACAGAGGGCTCCAAAGCGGGGCGGAGAGCCGGGGGCACCTTTGGCCAGGAACGCCACTTCGGCAACCCCCGAGTCGCCCTCCAGGCCCCGCGCGGGAGGCGCACGCTCGGACCGACGCCGCCGATCCTGTGGCTCTCCTGCCCGCTGCCGCGGTATCCACTTCGGGATACAGCGAGGGCACAGGGTGGGGCTCTTAGCCGTGCAGCGCACGGCGGGGCGCCAAGCCTCGAAAGGGCAGGCTTGCAGCTTGGAGCTTCAGCCTCGAGCTTGAGCTTCGGAGTGCCGCTGTGTCGCTGCCAGAGCTTGAGCTTCTGATTATAACTCCGCGTGCCAGCCGAATGCGGTTTGAGGTCCAGGGAGGTGCGAAGCGCGCACCGCCAACCACAACGCCGACAACAAAACAGTGTGCGTCGCATTGCAGCATGTGTTGTGCTTTGCTGTTGCTTGCCTTGCAATGCTGGTCTGCCCAGGGGTGCCGCTGTTCCGCCGCCAGTGTTGGAATTTCTCACTCCACGTGCGAGCGGAATGCGGTTTGATGAGGTCCAAGGAAGTGCGAGGCGCGCAGCGCCAACAACTGTGATGACAACAAACATGTGTCTTGCCGTGCAACGTTTGCTGTGTATTTCCGTGCTTGTGCAGTGCAGTGTTAGTATTCGTCGGGGTGCCGCAACTATACTGCTAAAGGTTGAATGTATGCTTCCGCGTGCGAGCCGACTGCAGCTTGAGGTCCAGGGAGGTGCGAAGCGTGCGGCGCCAAACACTACGACGACAACACACCACATGGTGTTGCACTGCAACGATGGTTGTGCGTTGCCGTCTTTGTTGACTTCGGCTTGTAAATTTGGTCTGCTTCGGGGTGTCGCTGTTTCGCAGCTAGAGCCTGAACTTCTGATTCCGCGTGCGAGCCAAATGCGGTCATAGGAGCTCCAAGGAGGTGCGAGGCGCGCAGCGCCAACCACGACCACACCAAAACAGTGTGTCTGTTCATTGCACTTGCTTTTGAATGACCGCTAACTGTTGCAATGCAATTTTGGCATGCTTCTGACTGTCGTTGTTTCGTTGCTAGATGGTGGTCTGGCTTGTCTGCTTGGTCTGGCTGGTCTGGATGCTGTTCGTGCTGATGCCTGGCTGGTCTGGTTGGTCTGACTGGTCTATTTCGCTGGTCTGGCTTGTTGATCTTGCTGGCCTGCTTGGTTCAAACGTTCGCATTATCGTTTCTGTTGTTTCGCCGTGTTTGGTCTGCTTCGCTGGTTCGACTTGCTGATCTTTGCTCGCCTGGTGAATCGAGTCGCAGAAGCGTTCATCTGTTTGGTCTGGTTGGTCTAGATGGATTGGTCCGAGTGGTCTGGTTGGGTTGGCGTTGTCGGTCTGGTTCGGTTAGCCTGATTGGTCGAACTTGTCTGGCTGGCTTTGGTTGGATTGGTCCAGTCTGGCTGGTTTTGTCTGGTCTGGTTGGTCGAACAAAAAGACCTGGCTGGTCTGGTTGGTCCGACCTGGTCCCGTCTGGTATGTCCGACGGGTTCGGTTGGTCTGGCTCGGTTTGTTTTGTGGGTCTAGTTCGACTGGCTGATCTGCTCGGCATGGTTGGTTGGCTTGCTTGGTCTGGCGTAATTGCTCTATTGTGTCTGGTTAAGCTGTCTGGTCCGGCAGGTCTGGTTGGTCCAGTCGGCAAGGTTATTTTGGATCCGATCTTGCTTTGTTGGTCTCATCATCGGTGTGGTCGCGCGGATGTTCATCTTGTCTGGCTGGGTCGGTTGGTTTTGTATGTTCGGTTCGCTTGGCTGACCTTGGTCTGGTCCACGCTGCTTGGACGAGTAGTTTACCTGGTTCGCCTGGTATGGTCTGCTTGGTCTGATCTGGTTGGTTGGTTGCTCTTGGTTGGTTGGTCGATAGGCTACTAGTTTGGCTGGCTTTGCCTGGTCTGCCTGCTGCGCAGGACTTCCACGAAGACGAGCAGCAGCAGCAGCAGCAGCAGCAGGAGCAGTAGCAACAGTAAAAGCATCATTGGCATCAACGCCCTGAGAAGGAGAAATCCGAGGAGGATCAGGGAAGAGGGAGGGGAGAATCTGCGTCACCAGCCATGTCAGCTCTTATGCCTTTGATCAGGAATCCAGTGTCTGGAGTCCAGTGGAACTCCAATCGTGGACTGGCCGTGGATGGCACCACCGCCTTGTTTAAGAAAACATCCTCCAGGGCCTGAAGCCTCCTGGGCTCACTCCTCCACGAATGCCCACACCGTTCTCTTCTCGACACGTGCACCGATCCTGGGCCCTGGGCCCAGCCTGGCATGAATCGGCGCAAGCGGATCCCTGGATATCCTCCGACACGATTTCTTCAATTCGCGTCCCCAAGAATTTCCGCTCCGGCTCCATGCTTGATGGATCCGCGCACCGGCTGCCGAAGAGCCTGGGAGAAACGGCACCGCGATTGAGAGCATCATGCCGTCGGAGATCTGGGTCGTTGGCATCCCCCCCCGGAACCGCGAGCCCCATCCCCAGGGCATACCACCCCCACGCGCCGAACTCGAGCAGCGTGCTGCCCGCCACGGCATCGTTCTCGAGGTAGGCCTCCGAGGCCGGCGTGCCCTGGCCTCCGCGCCTGGCGCGGCCCGAGGGGGCGCTGCGCCTCACCGACTGCGGGACCTCCTCCGCGGCAGACGCCCGCCGCGGAGCCTCGGAGGCCGTCCGCCCGCCCTCCCCCCGTCCAGTTCTGCCAGTGGCCACCGAGGATCGAAAAGGGGGGCTTTGAGCGTGTCTGCTGGGCTGCTGTGACCGGGGGCGTCCAGAAGCCGCCGGGGGCCTTCGGGGCTCGCTAGAGACGCACGGGGGTCAGGAGACTGGGCGGCACTAGAGCCTGACACCGCCTCCTCCTTTCCCCTCATCCTCTTTCTCGTTCGTGTCCTTGCCCTCCTCGTCCCCCCTCTCCTTCCCCAACTCCTCCCCTCAATCATCTTCCCTGCTCCGCTTCATGCACGATCCGATGATCGATGATCCACGTCATCCGCCTTATCCGCGACGGATGATTCAGGGAAGAGGTGGATGATCCGACCACTTCCCGCCTCCCACTTCTCTAGGGGAGGAAGGGCGGATGAATGGACAACCCAGACCTCCGATATGTCCTGATGTTTCGATGCAGGGCCACGGGACCTTTCAACAATTGCCTGGATGCCAGCTTCTCGTCCTGGCTCGTCGCTTGTGACGGCTCCAGAGCCACGAAAAACTGCCCCCAGAGGCCGCAGATAAAGAACAAAAGCCCGCCCTTACTCTTATCAAGACGTGCTTGGAGGACTGGGGGCGATCCACCTCCCCCCTCCTCCAACGTGGCGGGGAAAGAAGGGGGTGCCCCCAGACATCCTCCGATACGACTTTCAGTCCATAGCCCAAATGTCCGGAACCCTTCGCTGGGGGTATAGCGCCCCAAATCGCTGTGCTATTTCCCCAGGGCCCGGAACCACCCCACCGGGGGGGCCAAACGAAGGGAACAAAACGCGATTGACAAAACATCACATCGTTGCAGGCGTGGGCCTGCTCGGGGCTCGGTTGGAGGTCCCAAAACGGTGCGGTGACGGACCGTGCGGTGCCCTCGGAATCCTCATCGTCTTCAACACATCACACGGTCCGTCACCGCGCGATCTCATGACCCTGGAAGCCCCAGTTGCCCGAGACGTCCTCAGACAAAGGCCCAAGTCCCAGAACTGCGCGGTCACCCCGAATCATCACTGACCCACCCCGCAGTGTTGCGGTCATCGCACCGTTTGGGGGCCCCCGATGGTGAGGCTTCGGGTTGCGCACAGATAGCCCCCCCAGTTTGTACCAGGCCTCGACAGGCCCCTTGGATGGTCCGGAGCGATCTCAACAACCCAACTCTGGAGCGGGGACCGCCCCAGGGGCGCCGCCGGAGGCGGCGCCAGGGTGTTGAGACCGCCCTGGACTACTCGGGGGGTCGCTTGAGTCCAGCTCGGACTACCTGGAGGGCCTGTTGAGGCCAGCTGGGACTACCTGGGGGAGCTGCCTGCGCGCAGCCCGAAACCTTACCAGTCCCCGATTCTCGGGGGCCCAACAGTTCTCTGCAGCCATCCAAAGCAACCTCAGACGTCAAACAGCGACCTCGAACTTCGATCCAGGAACCTCCCCAGAAGACTAGGCCCCCGACCTCTCGACAACTTCCTCAGGACCGCGCTTCAACTCCGAGTTGCTTTTTGACGGTCCCAAGGCCCAGTAAGGGCCCCGAGGATCGGCGGCGAGCGAGGGGAGGAAGTGAGAAGGAGAAGCCCTTCTCAGAAGGCGGCGTGACTTCTCAGAAGCCCTCGCGCCTGCTGAGAAGTCTTTTTGTGTCTCCGTGGAAGGCTCAGAAAACTTCTCACGAGCCTTCTGAGACGACCCGCCCCTTCTCACTCCCCCCTCGCTCGCCGCCGAGAGA